AACTTTATTTTATAATTGAAACAGAATTGTAAAATGTAAACCTTTTCCGTGGCCAAACGGTTTGTACTATTTCACTGACAACAAAATTACTAACCTGGCCTCAGTACTTTCTGGCGAAGACGCTGGCCTTTTTTGTTTTAATGCAGCAGTCACATATTGTGTCTTTGACAACTAGTTACTTTTAAAGCATCAAGTGGAAGTTGACAAGCGCTGAATGACTTCAATAACGACGCTCTTCACAGACTTCTCAGAAAAAAAATCGTCATTTGGCGTTGTTTACCATCTCTAGCTCCCACCACGAGCGCGCACACTTTGCAGGCCTAGAAGTTTCTCTTTTTACTTGAAATGGTGTCCTGTGGCAGCGATTCAACTTTTTTGGATGCCAACTGACATTAAACACCAAGGAAGAAGAAATGGCGTCCCAACACTGCGCTCATGGCATGCGGAAATTTTTGAAAAGCAACAAGACGCGGCACAACTTTAAAAGGCGGCCATCTAGTGCATGTTTACACAAGAATTAATAAGTTAATTTACTTTCATGAATTGAAGGACTACATGAGAATAAAAAAAAATTAGGAGTATAGGTATAAATTAGTCTTCACGTGTGAATTTTGGAAAATAAAAAGGTAAAATAGCTATGGTACACAAAAATACATATATTTTATTCGGTCGAACAATGACCTTGAGCAAGCAAGTAGGTTAGATGTATAAAGTTCAGTAATCGTACTTTTCATGTGGGCATTAACTATAATTAACATTATAATGCTTGTGAAATTCTTAAACCATGTTTGAAGATGTTCAAAAAAAAAAAAAAAACTATAGTCAGAGACAGCTCAAACTCCTTTAGCTCAGGACAATTTAAGTGTGTCTTTGCATGGGAAGCATGGTTTAATCTACAAGAGCAGCAAACCAGTACTAAGGATTTGCACCAACATAATTTTTAGTAACAGGTTGTAGGTCCATTACAGACTATTTTATTTACTGATGTGGTACAGTATTCTGGAGAGAGAAAAAAAAAACTGGTAGTGTTGTCATGGTCAAACATTTGATTTGACAGTCTATTTCCTAACATTCTTAATTTAAAAACGCTTATGGGTTACACAGCACAATTCAGTAGAATGAGACCATGGCTTAAGAGTCTAAACTTTAACAATGCTCCTCAGAACAAAACTATTGCTTGGCCCTTTGGTTTTACTTTGCAAAAAAAAAAATGGAAGAATACATACTCATTTTCATAGTAAAGTTAATGAAAAATTTAAAAAAAAAAAAAAAAACTATAGTCAGAGACAGCTCAAACTCCTTTAGCTCAGGACAATTTAAGTGTGTCTTTGCATGGGAAGCATGGTTTAATCTACAAGAGCAGCAAACCAGTACTAAGGATTTGCACCAACATAATTTTTAGTAACAGGTTGTAGGTCCATTACAGACTATTTTATTTACTGATGTGGTACAGTATTCTGGAGAGAGAAAAAAAAAACTGGTAGTGTTGTCATGGTCAAACATTTGATTTGACAGTCTATTTCCTAACATTCTTAATTTAAAAACGCTTATGGGTTACACAGCACAATTCAGTAGAATGAGACCATGGCTTAAGAGTCTAAACTTTAACAATGCTCCTCAGAACAAAACTATTGCTTGGCCCTTTGGTTTTACCACATTTGGGTCTTCTTGCAAACCATGCTTGCATGAGATCCCACGTGTACATAAACATACAGACTCTCATAGCTTTCTATACCAGTAGATATAATATTTATCCATTTACAGGTCAAGTAGAAAGAGCACAATTTGTACAAATACATGTAACATTTGACATGAGCCATGTTCATATCTGTAACATTGTTTAAAAGATTAAGCTTAAAATACAGTGACTTGCATCACAAACGAAAATGGTTAACTGGATCAAAAGAGAGAGAAAAAAAAAAGTAAACTTCTGATAGCTTAGTGCATTCCAAGATAGCTTAACTTCAATAGAAGAAACTTTCTACAATATACTGGCAGTGCTCCAGACTAAAATTACTTTAAAATAAAACAAAAGTAACAAGCGTTCAGAAAGAACACAAATACATTACAATATTTAATAAAAACCAAAAAGAATTAAAACAGCATGAAATATTAAAAGAAACAAAAGTAGGTGAACTACTGGCATTTCCAGAATGCAGTCCAGTGGCCTTACACTAGGGGATAGCCGGCAGATGTCGCAATGCCACAATGGTTCTGTCGGTCTTTAGCCATGTAGATGTAGCCTTTGTCACCCCATTTCTCAGTCCAGCTAAAAGATACAGAACAGGTTTAAAAACCATGCAAATGAGGTTGTGTTAAAGGTTATTGAAAAAAAATCAGAACTGAGTGCATCATTAAAAGGACTCCAGAGGCAAGTCATACCTGTTCTTCACAATCCAGTATCTCTTCCCAGCAACATCAGCACCCTCATAACCATAACCAACCACCAGGACTGCATGGTCAAGTTCTACACCACTGCACTCCCTCTCATAATAGATGCCTACAGTAGAAAGTTAGAAACGAGTAAGAGATGTTCAGTCTGACTCAGGTTTAAAGGCAAGCCATGTAGTTTTGTAATAGCTCATACAAGTTTTTGCATAATAAACAAAAATGAATCAGAATTAGACTGTTTACACAGCTCAGGGATAATCACTCACCAGACTGATAGAACTGGAAGGATTCATGGCCAGCATCAATGGCAACAGCTACAGGACCCACAGCAGCAACAGCCCTCATTAGAGCATGTTCTTTACCACTGGGAATGTCCACAAAACCAGTGTCATTAACAGCATTATAACGGGGGTCATAGCGGCACCGCTGATCATCCTGTATTTGTAATAAAAAATAAATTAAAAAAAAAAGATTTACATGTGAGGTTACTGAATATACAATGATACATGTTTGAAATGGGAGCAAAACCTTTAAGGTTGACACCCACAATATATTAACTACCATTACAAGTCAGAAAGAGCAAACCACTGATTCTTACCGTTCCAAGGTAGGGATACGACTCTTCTGAATCCAGCCCATTGTTGTCCTGAACATACTGGAAAGCCTGGTCCATGAAGCCTCCATTACAGCCTTGATTGCCCTCCGGCCTGGAACAGTCCATCAAGTTTTGCTCACTCAGAGAAACCAGCTTTCCAGTTTTGCGGAACAGCTGACCCTCCAAGGCACCTGTTGAGCTGAAAGCCCAGCAAGATCCACAACGTTTCTAGGATCACAAAACAGGACTTTGTTACCAAACAGTCAAGCAACATGCAGTTTTTGAAATATTACCAGATACAGAATAAACATAAGCTCCAGGAACTAGTTTGATAAACTGCTTACTTGGTCTTTGATAGGAGTAACATAACCCTTCTCTCTCCAGTCAACCTCTTGAGGGGCTTCAAAAAAGCTGGGTTCCATGAACAATGAGCCTTTTGATTTCCGGCTGGGGTCATGATTGTAACCATTCATCACCTGTCTGAACTCCTCATTTGTCTAAAAGCGAAAATGCAAACAAAAGGGTTTATTAAAAGAGTCCTATTAAAAAAAAAATCATAGTGTCAGTCATAAGTATGAAAGTGCCAGTTTACAGCAGATCCATCAGTTTAGATGTTGTAGACAAAAACAAAATCAGAAGTCATATTGAACTGTTTACCATATCACCAAATTGGTTCATGCCCAGTCGAAAGGTGTGTTTGCCCACAGAGTGCTCAAGGTTGTGCAGCTCAATTTTCCTCAAGTTCTTATCCCACACCATTCTCCTCCAGCCCTCTTCTTTCTGAGGAAGAAAGCAGACATTGTAGCCATTGAAAAGAAGTTCTGTAAAGATGCTGCTTTTCGGTTCTGTTGAAAATTGATTTATGTTTGGCTACAGACTCTATACTACCCACCTCATGATAGTTTTTTCCATGCCAGCTCTTCCAGAGCTGCCAGTGATCGTCTAACTGCAGGTTTAAGCTTGGAGCAGCAAACACTGCACTCAAGCATAGCGTGAGGAGCGAGGCAAACAACATCATCCTGCCTGGAAGACTGTGACAGGGCAAAACAAGATACAATTTGAAGGAATGTAACAGGAGTTACACAGAGACTACAGCAGTAAACGTTTAACCAGTTACACAGAGAAAATCCCCAGTGTGCAAGTTGTGCTAAAAAGACCCTGAATAGGTACAAAGCCAAATAATAGGACGTTCAACATTTGCAAGTTTTACTAGCCTAAAAAACATTTTAAGTTAAGTTTAAACAAGTAATTTTAAAAAAGACATTTGATCCACTACAGTCGAAGCTGAAACCCACGTAAATATAAATCGAGCACCGTATACACAACGGGGAAAAAAACAATAAAACCAAAGTGTAATCCCCAGTGTGCAAGTTGTGCTAAAAAGACCCTGAATAGGTACAAAGCCAAATAATAGGACGTTCAACATTTGCAAGTTTTACTAGCCTAAAAAACATTTTAAGTTAAGTTTAAACAAGTAATTTTAAAAAAGACATTTGATCCACTACAGGCGAAGCTGAAACCCACGTAAATATAAATCGAGCACCGTATACACAACGGGGGAAAAAACAATAAAACCAAAGTGTAAATAATAAACTCAACTTTTACCAGCAAACGAAATGATTGACTGGCATTGCTTACAACTGAGCGGGATTTAAAGCGTACCTGATCAAATAGGCGGCCTCTCATTGGCTGAGGGTGATGATGAGTAAGGTGTTCACAGCCAATCAAGTCAAACAAAAATCTCATCTACTTATGTGATCCAGCGTCACAAGATCGAGAACTCATCACTTGCATATATTGTAACAGGATTAAAAGTTACATCCGAAAACTCTTTGCCTATATTCCTTTTTTTTTTTTAAATAATCGTTTATGACATACGAGGGGAAAAAATAAAATAATAAAAAACATAAAAAATAAAAATAAACATTTGATTAGGGTGTGTGAAAATAATTGAGATTAAATGAGAATTATCAATCAGTTAAAATAAATGTTTTAAATGCAGGTTATTGGAAAGGATGCATTGTGTTCATGAGAATTCGGTGCTTTTCTCTGTTCTGTGTTCATTTCAATTTTAATTTGTGCTTGTCATGATCATGACATGAAGCGTGTGCCTGACAAATGCAACATGCTCAGGCAGAAATTAATCAAAATGAAAACGCTTAGGCCCTAAAGAAAATTCCCTAACTAAGCGTTTTGAAGCACAATCAGCGACTTGTGTTTTGTATGACTCAATATACTAAATATAGCGGACACAGTACTTCTTAGCATTGGCTAAGCTTGGTCTTTTAGTTGCAGAGAACAGATTGTGACATAATTTTCAAACAAATTGTATTTTAAGTTTAAACCTTTTTGTTGTTGTTGCTCTTAATATGTATAACAACATATACTGAATATTATATAACCAATATATAATATCGAGTAATTTTATAATTATAGGCTATAATGTATGAAAAACTCTAGAAGAATTCTTGGACATTAAAAGTGGCCTTTAATGCAATAAAAATCAGTTGATTCCTTCAGAAATGTCCATTAATGCAGGGGTGCTTCTGAGACTCTCTTTTTCTGCCTTTCTTTGTTACAAATACAGGTATATTTTATATATAAATAAATTATATTTACTGGACATGATTGTTTTTATTTAGTAAATATATAGCATTACTGTTATACATGTGCTAGTCTCTAAGGATGATGGCTTATGTCATGCTTTATTGATATAAAATGATGTCATAAAGTATTTGGTTTATAATGAAAATCACTTATTCAACACAAACCTTAGACGGTTACCAAAAACCACAACGCAGCCACTGATATTTCTTGCATACAGCATAAGCAAGGAAAAAAGGAAACAGAAAACAAAACTGTGGTCTGACGTTTGATGGAGTGAGACTCTAAATTTACATTTAGCCTGACCTGTGCAACTTAACAATGGCAAACCCATTGGTTAGACCCTAAAAGACACCACAGGATGTTACCTGTTTCACTTTGCATCACATGTAATACAGTTTATTCTGTGGTTTTGTGCAAGAGCTCTTTATTTGTATGTTTGCATTTCTGAAGAAGAAGCAGTGAGATGTGACATGTTTATCTGTAGTATATGTGTTAATGACTTTTGTGAGAATATACTGTCATGATTAATTCAGTCAATCAGCAGTGATGTCATCAGAATCTGAGAGGAGTCAGAACAAATGATTGATGAAACAAATGATCAGGACTTCAAACAATGCAACAAAAAAAGAGACCATTCTGCTCCTTCTGCTGATGAGCTGAAAGATCACTCAGAAGTCAGGAAGTGACTTTTCTTGTGGTTAACTGAAAAAGTCCACATGCAACTGCCATTTCTGGTCACAAAAGTTGAAACTTCTGCTAAGTTACTAATGACATTATTGTTAATAATACTTTTGGAAGTGGTAATATTTCACCAAAATCCAGAGAACTTTATATGCAACGCAGCCTTGCGTAGAATCATTCAATCTTTTACACTGCCACCATCTGAACAACAAGGGTAATGCAAGTTGGTAGGATGACATTTCATTACACCAAATACACAAAATAATGTTCTTTTTAGCAGCATCATATGACCCCTTTAAGCTGATTTTTTGCACTTTTGACTTCTGCAATTTATAGTCATCATTCCTTGACACACTTCAGGCAAAAAAGGAGACTTTAATCATAACTGCAACTCAGTTAGAGTATAATGATGTTAGCATTGAAAAACAAAGAGACAACATGTTTACTGCCACAAACCAAAAAAAAAGTAGTATATTACAAAATAAAAGTTTATACAAAAATAAGAATGAACTAAAATCTATTTAAAAGCTAGAAAGAAAAGCACATGAGTGCATATACCAGTCCACATGGGATTATTGTTCCCCATGGGATTTTTCTGACTTCTTTTTTGTCATTAAAACAGACAATTATAAAAATTATCTACAGTAAATCCAGTAATATCCATTATAGACATAGTGTGTTAGGTTAATTCATATTCAGGTAATTGAAGTCTTCATTCTCCACCTCTTCTTCATTCTGTGAGCGTATGCGCTTGGGTCGCTTCTTATTTTTCAGCCGCACAGAGGGCTGACTGCCAGGAGGTCCTCCAGGATGCAATGCAGTGTTGCTTTTCCTTTTCTAGAAGAAGAGACATCGGTCAAATTAACCCCTTAACTGTCATCCCCATTTTTGAAAATTCACGAGAAAGTGCACTATCCAAACTTAAATTATTATACTTCATGAACGCTTTTGAATACAGACCTAAGGTTGGTCTCTTTTTAAAGAAGACAATTAGCAGATTATTATAGAAGTGAAATCATTTAATAAAATTATAGTATTAAAACGTTATAGAAGTTTAAATTTACTGTAAAGAAAATGCATTGTACTATTTTAATATTATTTTATATAAAATAAATATTTTTAAAAAATATAAAAAAATACAAAATTGCTATAAAATTAATGCCATATGTCTACATAAGTTGTGTTCCAAATTTGAAGTTGATATAAAAAAAATTGAGGTTCATATGCAATTTTGTTTAGGCATTATACCAAAAACAGCCACCGGGTGCCACCCCCAAACTCCTTTATTTTATTTTTTTTTTTATGCATTTCTGTCACAAATCTATAAATTTCTCTCTCAATATTATGTCTATCACCAAATATGGAATCTTGATACTCAGACCTTTCCAACGATATGTATTTTGTCAAGATTATAAAATGTTTTGATTCTAAAAGACCGTAATACATTTTGTAAAATGATTTTGAAATACCATTTCTATGGTAAATAAATGGTAAATGGTCTATGGTAAATAAATGCCTGATTTCAAAATGGTTTTCACAGGATAAATTTTGAGATTTTAAGCTTTCAAATGGCATATAACTTGTGATGATTACTAAAACAAGGCAACGAAATAAAGACTTTTTGTAACAAAGGTAAGAACTCCTGTTATGATGTAGATTTTTTCAGACTCTTGGTGCACTCGTCATAAATTAATCTATTACTGTTCCTACATAATTTGTAACAAAATAAAATGGTAAAAAAAAACTATTTAGGAGACTTAGACCTTTCCAATGATATATAGTTTGTCATGATTATATTAGGATTTATTGTACTATAGTGAATTAAAACACATTTACAGAAGACATTCCAAAACTTTTTTAAAGAATTGTGTGGCACTCACGTTGGTCTTTATTCATTAAACATGAGCAGAAGGAATTTCTTTGTAATCATTCACTAAACCACTCGGTCATATGTTGTTGCGTTGAATTCAGCAGATTCTGTTTTGTTCTTTAGAATGTGGACGAGTTTGGGATTATTACCTTATAGCAAACCACTCCTGCGATGATTCCACATAACACTATTAAACCTATGCTGCAACCCACGGAGATTATCGTGATGGGCACGTCACCTGCGAGAAGATTAACACAATGTTTCATTTTTTTTTCTTTACGTTTCTCTGTTTCGTATTAATTGGCGAAAAATGCAGGTCTGTGCATAAACAAACATCACTACATTTATTCAGAATATACAGTTACAACAGAGTCAAAACAAACTATAAGTATATGCAAAAACAAATATTCAAACATATATTCACAGATCACACTCTGGTATCCTTCTCTTTTTTTGTATTGCATGAAGAAGTTTGTCAAAACTTTAGGATGCATTTAATTTGTATGTTATGTGTATTGTGTTTTTGTTTTTAAACAAAGAAAGAGCTACTATTGTTTACTATTACTATTGTACTTTACTATTGTGTCATGACCCTCATGCTTGATTCTGAGTGTTAAAGGCACAATATGTAATTTTCGCCGCTAGAGGGCGAATTGCTTATTTCTCTGGATTTAAACATTCTTCGAAACATTTGGGATAATGTAAGTACACAAGTCAGCAAAATATAAAACACTGTTCTAGTGGTTTTTGGATATTTTAATAAAAAAATCTTACATATTGTGCCTTTAAATGATAGTATGGGTGTGACTAGGTAAATAGCCATAAAATGGTTATATTTCTATATAAATATAAAATATCTGCAATAACAACACTATGCCTGGTGTTATGTTGAGGAAGATGTCTTATAAAATAAATATTCTCACCATTTTCTGTCCTTTTCTCTAGCTTATTTTGTCCTTGAAGACTCCCATATGGGAAAGTGGTGAGTTCGTAACAGTAAGTCACAAAGTCACTCTCTTGTAATTTATCCAGTATAATGCTGTGGTTAGATTTTACGGAAAGACGACCAGCATAGTTGTTGTCAAATATAGTAAGTCCATGGATGGGGCTGAACACAAAAACCTTCTGATTTGGACACTTTTTCCATACAGCTAGGGTTACTTTCATGTTTGTTGTAACCTTAAAATTAAAA